CACGAGTGTTTTTGGTTTTGGGGAGGGATGTTTCATGTCAGTGGTGTTGTACATCATAAGTGCCAGTGTTCTTATTTGGGGGTTTTCATTTCAAGACAAGACAAAACCCCCAAGCAATTAGTGAAATCCTAATAGGAGCAATGATGGAACAATGATCAACTGCTCACTCTTCTAGGATCCCTACCTCCCTCTTAGCAGAGCATTTTCAATAGCAAGATTCCACCACCCACACAAGATCTGCAGAACTGGAATTAATTTGCAAACTAGACACCATTAAATTAGGCTTGAATCAAGACTGGAAGTGGATGGGTCATTACACAAAGTAAAGCTGTTTTCCCATGCTAATTTTTCCCCCTACTGTTACTCACACCTTCTTGTCAACCGTTAGAAATGGGCCATCCTGATTATCACTAAAAAAGTTTTTTTTCTTCTGCTGCTAATAGCTCACCTTAATTAATTACCCTTGTTACAGTTGCTATGTCAACACCCATTTTTTCCATGTTCTCTGTGTATATATATTTTTCTACTGAGTCTTCCACTGCATGCATCCGATGAAGTGGGTTTTAGCCCACGAAAGCTTATGCTCAAATAAATGTGTTAGCCTCTAAGGTGCCACAAGTACTCCTCATTTTTTTTGCTGATACAGACTAACACGGCTACCACTCTGACACACTTCTGAAAGGTTGCCGATCCCTGTACTAGTTCATAGCCAACTTGATGTTAATGTTAGCTGTATCAAGTTTTACTATCCACTACACCACAATCTACTCAAGAGGCATGCTGCTTAAACTGGGAGAGATAGAGGGATAGAATGCTCCAATTGTTATCCCTGTTCTTTGGTGCCAGCAGATGTGAGAAGTTAATGTATGGAATAGCCACCTATGCTGTACAACTCTTATGTCCCACAGTTCAAGCACTGTTCTGAAGTAAAAGCAGAAAAGCATGAAGTTTGAAGTTAAATAAACAGTCTGATACCATATTAAGCTGTGGCTCAAAGATGCATGACAATCTTATATTCCCCCTATTCTCAAGAGAGCAAGCACTCTCTTACAAATTATCTAATGCAACAAATGCTGAAATCTGAGATTCCAAGAACCAAAACAACAATAACTCCCTGGACTAATGAAACAGATTATAGGACTGTTTATAGACTCTCAGTCTTGAGCTACATACAGTTCCTTACCATCTTTGGTGTGTCACTTTTTAAAAGACATTTTGGACTTTAAAAAAGGTGCAATGTTTAGGTATGAATTGGGGATACAGTACAGTATCTATCTGAGCAAGCTTTAGTATAGGAGATTTATAGATGCAGCATATTATTATAGGGAGAGCAAGGAGCAACCCCAGTATTTATCCTAACACCATCACAAAAAGTAGTTGAAACTTGTGTGTGAGAAGTTCCACCACCACCATGTTTGCAACAGGCCTTTGGCAGCTCTGGGGCTAGAGATAGAGTGCCATAAAATGCTTTTCAGGTTTGGCAGAGATAACATGTTGAAAAATCACTGTTCCCCTTATGTCCTTTGCATGGAAGCATATCGAAATAAATGAACACCACGCTAATGCTGGCTCCACATTGCCATCAAAGCAGCAGCAGAAGAGACTATAGTGCCAGAACAGCTGTAGTGAGCAGGGGGAGGAGGAAGTTGAGCTGGCCAGGCTCCACCAAAGATCCAGAATATGGCCCCAGCAGCCAATCTCTCTCACAGGTACTACATGGGACACAAGATTTCCCCATCTCCATGGAACAGGGCTAAGGAAACTGGCCCAGGCTTGCTCTGATCACATCCCAGACCCAGTACATAGTGCCAGGTGCCGTGCCAGCTATGTGTCCGTGGTAAAAATTTTGAGGTCCGTGTGGGAGCTCACCTTGGGCAGCTCTCCATCCCTGCTGGTGCAGGCACAGCCAGGCACCTCTGAAGGCATGCTGCCTCCATCCCCGCTCCCTGAGCGCTGACTCCGCGGCTCCAAGCCTCAGCCAATGGGAGCTGCGGGGGTGGCGCCTGGAGATGGAGGCAGCATGCCTGCAGAGATGCCTGGCCATGTGGGCCTCCCAGTCCCCTTTGCTGGTGGAGGCATGGCCAGGCAGGTCTGCACACTGCCTCCGTCCCCACCCCCAAGCACTGACTCCGCAGCTCCCAGCCCATTGGCCGGGAATCTCGGTGAATGGGAGCTGCGGGGGCAGTGCCTGTGGACAGGGCAGCGCACAGAGCCGCCTGGCGATGCCTCCACGTAGGAGCCAGACATGCTGCTGTTTCCGGTAAGTGCTGCATGGAGCCTACACCCCACCCCCCACACCTCTGCCCCAGCCCTGATCCCCCTTCTGCCCTCCAAACCCCTTGGTCCCAGCCCAGAGCACCCTCCTACACCCCAAACCCCTCATCCCCAGCCCCACCCCAGAACTCCTAAATCCACGTTTAGCTGTCTATGGATGGTATTTTCAAAACCACTCAAGTAACTTAGAAGCACACGTCCCATTGATCAGCTCCTAAATCCAGCAATGCCAATCCTAAGTGTTCAAAAATCAGAGTCAGATCCCCCAAATCAGGATTTTGAAATAACAGCTTTGGATAATTTGCATTTGCTTTCTGATTTGAGCCTTCAAGGTGCACATTGTTGAACTTTTCTCCATGATCACGAGGACTGGGCTAAAGACTAAACATGCCTAAGACTAAAACATTACTCTAAAAATCTAAAGGTTCTAATCTACTTTGTCAAATGGAAGTGGGTTTCCCAACCACCTCCGAAAAGGCAATTCTGTCTCTAGTCTGCACACATTAATCAAAACAAGCAGAGACTACTTGTTTACAAGACTCCCTTATGCAGTCTTCAACTTCTTCCTCACAACAAAATACATGTTAGAATCTGAGTTCTTTCCAGGATGTAAAGCAGTTCTTGATAGGCTAAGCAGAAAAAAAAAAAAAAGTTCATGCTATCCCTCCACAGAACAGAAAGAATGAATATGGATTAGCATTTTCTGTCTTCTCCCCTGAGAAATGCTGGTCACTCCTTTACTAGTGTTAAGTTACTAAACCGATTCCTAACACCTGTTACAAGATACCTAGTTTATAGGGATTTCCTGGGCTTTGCTCACTTTCCCTTAGGACTGGTTCTACAAACAAGTACGCTTGCAAATATATATCATGCAGGGTTGTTTGTTGTTTTAAACTGAGTCAATGTTTATAACAAATAATGGTCCTTACCTGTAACTCCCCCCCTCCCCCAGTTGAGAGCTGCTGCTTTGGTGTGAGGATATTTTCCAGTCTCATAATTACCCCTGCCCTTATCCAGTTCAGACTATAACTTTTCTCTAGAGCAGAAGACACTGAAATGTTTTGAACTGGAAAAAGAAAAAAAAAAAAAAAAAGCAGCTCCCATTTCTTCTGCTTCGTTCCCACCTGCTGGAAAATTCCACCAACTACCACCACTTCATAACAGCATCTTGCGACAACCTTGATAGCTGCACCTCCCTTCCAGCCCAACAATCCTCAGTGGCTCTGTTCTTCTCTTCCACTAGACAGGTATTTTTCACAACAGAAGGCAACAGAGGACACTGATTTTTCCAAGTTTTGCTGCTTTCCCTCCCAATTATCATAGAAGCAATGTGATCTAGTGATTAAAAGAAAGCCTGATCTAATCCTAGCTCTGCCATAGGCTCAGTATTAATTCAGGGAAGCCATCTAACCTTTCCACATGCTTCCATTTACCCATCTGTAAAAGAGGTAATTATATCTGCCTGCCTGCCTGCCTCAGAAGAGAATTGGGAAGCTTAATTTATCTTCACAACGTGCATCAAGATCCTCAAAACAGGTTGTATGAAGTATTTGTTAGTTCTAATATTTAGAAGCCCATCTCATTCATAACCAACCCCAAATGGCAGTATGCTAGCCAACTCTTGCTCAGTTTCACAATTCACCACTCCCAGTGTAACGAGTGGTTCATTTTCCCTAGTCAGTGTTGCAATCCACTGTTTCTGTATGGCTCGTGGCAAGAGTCGCTATTTTGTGCCTTCTGGCAAAATTCATGTCTTAAAAAGAGTTTGCCTTTTTACACTGTGACCCTCAATCCTGCATCTCTCACATCCAGCTGGACTCTCACAACACTGCTGCCTCTTGCCAATCCCAGGATCAAATTTAAAATAATGAGAGCCAAATTCTACTCCTGGTTACAGAAGTTACTCTCAGTGCTAGAGAAGTCTGAGCCGAGTTACTCTGATTTCACACTAGTGTACCGGCGACCAGAATCGGACTCTTTGGTGGTGTTTAAAATGTGGTGTTTAAATAAGGTGCCTGCACCTCTTCCTCAGAACAGCATTCGGCCTTTGACAAAGGCACTTCTCAGGACTGAAGGGTCTAACGGATTTTTCCAGTAGTCAGCAGCTTGCATCTGAGTCAGTAGCACATACTAGAGAAGCCCAGGGCTTACTGACGAGCACTGACTCCTTACTCTGCCCTCAGTTCACGTCTTCCCCGCTCTCACTGACCCACTAGCTTTCTTCTTCAACGACGCCTTTGGAGCGGTGGGGTCCCCCTCGAACTAACACGCTTTCCCTACAGACCCTTCCCCGCCCCGACCTGCCTGGGAAAGGCAGGGGCCCCTCAGGGCAGGCTCCGACCCACAGCCCTGCCACCCGGAACGGAACGGCACGAAGGGCAGCCCAGCCAACGGCCCCCGCGCCCCGGCTGCTCCCGGGCACGGCGCTGCTCGAGCCGGGAGAGGTGGGAGCGCGGCTGGCAGGGAGCCCCCCCCGAGCTGCTCCTCCAGGGGGCACCGCGACGGGCGGGCTGCTCGGGTTAGCCCGGGGGGCAGCCCCCCAGCGAGGGGGGAGACCCAGCGACCTGCAGCCTCCGCCGCCTGCCAGCCCGGGGCAGTGAGCCGAGGCGGCTTCCCCGGAAAGAGCCGGAGCCTTGAACCGGGGGACTGAGGGGTCCGCCCGCCCCTTCCCCCGGGAATGGGGGAGGCTCTGCCCGTGCCCGGGGAGCGGGCGGCCCGGCGCCCACCTGTCCTCGCTGGCGGTGATGAGCCCGTCCTCCTTGGGGATGAGGAGGGCGGCGCTCACCGCGTCCTGGTGCCCCTCGACCTTGCTGAGCAGGACGGGCCGGCTGCTCTGCGGCCTGGCGTGGATCTCGGCCGCCATCTCTGTGCGGAGCCTCCGCCGGGGGCGGCCCCTCTGCTGAGTGACGGGCAGAGGTGAGGGCCCCGCTCGGCGGAGGGGGGGGTAAAGAGGCGACGGGCGCCCGTAATATCAGGTGTAGCGGCGCCACAGGAAGGACAGGGCTCCGGAGGATCCCGTAATATCACGAGTAGTGACGCCTCAGGAAGGAGTGGAGCGCCCCTAGTATCAGACTAGCGGCGCAGACTGGAAGGCCTCAGTGCCAGGCAGAGGCCCCCGTATACTCTGAAGTAGAGGAGCCTCTGAAAAGTCCTGACGCCGAGGATGGGCTACGTAGTCTTCAGCGAAGCAGGGCCTCTAAAAGTCAGACTAGGGATCGTATTTCATAGAAAAGCAGGGAAATTACTTTTGGGGGTTATGTGTGTTTAAGGGTGAAGTCACCTCCTGGGTGATCCAGGGAACATCAAGTTGAGATGACAGTGGTGCTGGCACAGGGCCCTGAGCATTAGCCTCCCACAGGCCCCCAATGACAGCAGCGGTGAAGGACCATGAGCAGGGTTGCCAACCCTCCAGGATTGTCCTGGAGTCTCCAAGAATTAAGGATTAATCTTTAAATAAAGATAATGTCATTTGATGAAACCTCCAGAATTCATCCAGCCAAAGCTGGGAACCCTAACTCTGAGTAGCCAACCCAGCCCAACCTAGTGCTTTCCCCATAGGGCTGGGAGCTCTCCAGGGCAGGGTCTGCCAGCAGGGTTTGTTGTGCACAGGGCAGTACCTCTCTGAGAGCCACACCCATCCATCAGACACTGCCAGAATGGGAGCAAGAGTGGCAGGTGCCACGGGAGCCCATCCTTGCACTGGGAACTAGGCCCTTGTCCTTTGGTTCTAAACACAGGCCTCTATCTCCTAAGATAAAGGAGAGCTCCCTTTACTGGCAGCAGTAGCAGATCTCTTATCTTCCCTGTTGATACCAGTCAGCTCTGTGTTCTTGGGGAACCAGGGCGCAGTATCCAGCCTGTCTCACTCATGAAAGACACCTCCCCTCCCCGCCTCTGCTTGAACCAAAACGGGTCAGAGAAAAGACTTGCAGAGAGCAATGAAGGGTGGATTAGAGACACACCTAGACCCCTCCTGACAAGGGTGACAAGAACAAAGCCAACTCCCCTAGCCTCATCTGCATCAAAGATGGGACAGGGAGGCATCTCTATTAGCATACAGAATGGAGAACAGAGATTCCAATGCAAGAACCGTACTGAACTTTGGGACCAGAAAAGCAGGGAAGCACTGCATCATGGGGATCTCTGCTCCAGATGTTAATGAACCTATGCCTGTACACACCCAGCTCAGCAGTTATCAGACCAATTCTAGTAATGAATCCTTGATTGATATCCAAAATACTGAAGCAGCTTAATTGCATTGTGAGCTCCCTGAAAGAAACATCACCCATACCTAGGCGTGATCAGCTCCTATTGTCTAGCCTAAAGAAAACCCTTGTGTCATCAGTTTACCCATAAACAAATCTAGTGTTCTCCCTTGAACCATTGTATTTTCCCTACAAAAACCCCTACTCACACTCCAGTAAGCATTCTGATACATGGACTCAAATTCTGCATCAGTTCCACTGGGATTTCACCTTCTCCAGACTGATCGTGCAGGGGGCTCTGCCTGTCTCCAGCACTCAGGACCCTGAACTACCACCATCACCTGGAAACCCCGACCAGTTCAAGCTTCGTGGAGTGGTGAGATGCTTCTCTCTCTCTCTGTTTTCCTTTCTACCTCAGGTATTAACCTTTAATAAGGTAACTGTTATGTTGTTTTAGGCTCTCCTTAGGTAGTTATTATTATTCAATAAGTAACTTTTATGGTTAATCTGGTTGCTTCTCTCTCTCTCAACTTTACTCTGTTGCCTCAAGGGGAATAAGGCAACAGTTCAGAAAGGAAAACTTTAGAAATGGTAGAGGGGAGATAAAAGGAAAGCCCCTTTTCCCAGAAGAACAGACTCGACTCCCTTCTGTATCTGTCACCGGTGGATTTAACTTACAATAAGGGTGTCCCTCCCTCCCTGTGTGATATAATAAAAATGAAAGAAAGACTAGGTACTATGGTGCAAACAAAGGTAAGTGTATTAAGGGTAAAGGCACAGAAAACTGGGGAAAATTGGGGGGAGGGGACATAAACATACAGTGATTCAGTGACTGGCTTTAGGAGCTTGAAGCTCAGACCCACAAAACCTCCCTTGGTATTCAGAAGACAATAAAGAAACCCTTCCTACAATTTAGGCGCAGTGGACACAGCGTACAGATGGAAAGCCCAGGACCTTCTACTCTCCGGCTGATTTAGAGCCTTCGAGGAGGACTACTCGGGAGTCCCGACTTCGTCACAGGCGGGGAGACCCTCTGGGATGATGGACACCAGGAAAGCAGGACCCTCCACAGGTAAGATGGATTCGGTTCGCTGTGATGGGGATAGTGATGATAGGCCTCTCCTTCCTCAACCTCACTGCGGGATAGATGGTACTCTACTCTCTAGCTCTGGAGCGTTAGGAAGACCCGACCGTGCATGTGCTGCCGCTGGAATGGACAGCCCTGAGGCTCTGAGCAAGATCTTATATAATCTGTAAGGTGGGAAAAGCTGGTTCAGTCCGGTTTGAGCCAGAGGACTCCAGTTTCTAAGTTGTAAACAAGTTTGCTTACAAAGATGGAGTCCAAGGGTCATAGTTCATATACTCCATATTAAATTCCATTGAAGCCAGTGATTTACTTAACATTACTTAAAAAACACATTATTGAAATACCTAACTGAACATATTAAACAACACCAAAAATGTTTTTTGATACCTAACAACTCTTTGGTGTTTTTAGCTTCCCCATTTACTCTGCAGCAACGCTTCTTTTACCTAAGCTAAAGATCCCTGTAGCACCCAAAAGTATGGTGGGGTTTGCTCATGAACTGGGTCACTACCAGTACAATTGTGACATAAAAGTGGGGTTAGGGACGTGCTGAACCTGTGACATACGAGGGTGGCAGCTTGGAAGTGCTGCTCGACCCAGACTACTGAGTCCAGGGGCATATAAGGGTGGCAGCTTGAAAGTGCTGCTTGACCCAGTCCGCTGAGTACAGGGGCATATAAGGGTGGCAGCCTGGAATGCTGTTCGACCCAGCCTGCTCAGGCTTACTCTACTCCAGTGCGGAACCTTTGGCACGTAAGGGTGGAAGCTTGAAAGTGCTGCTTGGCCCAGCCCACTGAGTCCAGGGACATATAAGGGGTCAGTTTGAAAGTGCTGATTGACCTGGTCCGCTCAGACTTGCTCTGTTAATGTGTGTGTGTTCATCTGGTTCTGGGGCTGGAGGAACCCAGCCCTGGGGAACCTAGGTCCTGCAGGATAGCTCCATTGGGAGGGGACTTGCAGAAGGGAGGAGTAGAGCTCCGTATTTACACACAAGTGACACAAGCAGTACATTGATAGAATTACAGAATTCCTCCCCTGAAAAGTAACCCTAATAAATGAGCATACCCCAAAATAACGGGCAAATCTGGTAACACTGTGTGAGCCTGACACCACTCACACATATGATCTGACACAGACACAAAGCCAACCTCCTCCCCTTTAGCCTACCCATTCCATGCTGTCTCTAAATATTCAATAACGTGCCAGCTATATTCTCCTCCTTTAGACATTTGTCTGTGTTCTGCATTATCAATGCTTCACCACCATGCAGAGTTTGCCTGGAGTTCTGAGGCCTTTCCATGCTTCCTCTCCACCCCCACGCCCCAGCCCTCCTTAGGAGTTTCCCAAATAAATCCTGGCACTTGACAGTTGTCCTACATCTTACTCCCAACACCCACATTTGGAAGTCTCATAGTGGTAGGGTAGGTAATTTATGTCAGCCATGCTGGCTCAGTAAATTGATATTAGAAACACCACTGTTTACACTACAGTAATTTTTCCTGTGGTATTTAAAGCTTAATGTGCTATTCATTTGTTCACATTATTTTGAATCATTGCTCCATGTTGCGTCTCTCATATTTTGGCCTTGAGAGGTTGATACAGACCCAGCAGAACTCACAGTGATGGGGTTCCGCTATGTCTGTGAAAGTCTCAAATTTAACATGGAACTGCGGGGCTGCTGCTTTCTAAAACCTAGTCTACACTTAAAAGTATTGCCAGGATAGCTATACCATCTATACCAGCAAACCCCTCCTAGTGTAGAGACAGCCTATACAGCAAAAAAGTGTGCGGTTTTTCTGGTAAAGGTTATGCTAAGTCAGTGAGTGAAATAAGCGATATCAGCCAGTGCACTTTCCGATCAGTATAACTGCATCTATACTAGGGCTTTTGCAGATGTAGAAATGTTTTTTAAAAAAATCACACCACTAAATGATATTCTACACCAGAAAAAAAATTGGTGCAGACCTGGCCTAAGTGCATTGATCACCTAAGTGCTAGTTTCATCCACTCTTAGGAACAGTAAAGATCAGTGTGTTCTTCATTGTTGTGCTCTGTAAACCAGCCTCCTTCCAAACACCATAAAAGGAGCGGAAAGGACGTTTTGAATCCAGCCCAACTTCCCAATTGTGTGAGAGGATGGGAAGAAAGAAGGTCAGTCATTGTTCCTCTCTGAACTATTAAGTAGGAGACAGGGCATATCTACACAGGGATAAAAGACCTGCAGAAGAACAGCTGCAGCTGGCCTGGGTCAACTGACTTGTGTTCACAGGGCTTGGACTGTGGGGCCCGATTTTTAACCCCTCAGGGAGGTTACAGGTCTAAAAATCCATCCTTGCCAGGTCCCAGAGCTCAGGCTCCAGCCCGAACATCTATACAGTGATTTTTCAGCCCCAGAGCCTGAGCCCCGCAAGCCAGAGTCAGCTGACCAGGTCAGCCATGTGTAGATGTACCCAAAGAGGCCAGCCTGACCTCAGACTTTTGAAGGATTTCACAGACCCTTGGACAGCCTGTCAGGACTTCCTACAGCACCAGAGTTATAGCTGCCACAATTTCAAAAGTAACTTTGAACTGAATAGAGGAGGAACCGAGAGATGGGTCCGGTTTAGTTAGGCTGCAGGAAAGACATTCCTTGAATTAGTGAGCCTCAACTGACCATATGCGATTAAAGTAGAAGATCTGTTATAACAATTCCATGTTCGCTAATGCTTCATG